TCGGATCGAAATGGACCGTTTTGTATTTGTTGTTCTTAGCTTTATCTTCTCTTTAGTCATTTTTTTCTTCATCGTGCAGTTTTTTCCAAGCTTTTTTTGGTGAATATTTCAAGATTCTCGGATTATATCTTTTTTTTAACAATTTTCAAATGTGCGCCTTTAATTTGAAAAAAAAAAGAAGAGTTATGTAATATGCTCAACGGGTCTCTTTGAATCCAAACATTGCTTGATTATTATCATTAAGCCAAGCAAAATGTTCCATTTAGTATTTGTTATATTTGCATTCGTAATTCGTATAACATTTACTATATAGTAAAAGAGATCTACTATATAGTAGATATCTTCTTTTATTTATTAATGAATAGAATGAAAAGATTGAATCCAAATAGCCAGCATACATGTTTGTTTTTTTTTGTTAAAATTCCATTTTGCAAACGGTTACGACAAACGATGTACGACCAAGTAATGTATCGGTGTTTGTGTTGGTAAGTAACTGAGTTGCATCGTACATCTCTTGTCTGCATTTTAGCATATTTTCATTGGATTATGTGTGAAAGAACTTTACCGATAGACAGAAAGAACGTATTCACTTCGTTACGTAAACATCCTTTCTTCGTTCCCATATCAATTGTATAGACATCGACAAACCGTTACAAACATATAACATATTTCTCTCTATTGTTCTGCACAAAACTTGCATCGAAATATTTTAACACAGCTGTGTTTAACACCAGTGGTGAAAACGGAAATAATCCACTGACACGCGACGGATAACAATGCTATTTGAATATAAAGTCGTGCGAAAATATTTTGAACCAACTAAATAGTCGACCAATTTGAAAAGAAGAATTCAGCCAGCCAAATGTGCAAACAACAAAGTTGACTCACACCGATTATGATCGCCCATTAACAACACGTATTTTGATTACGAATTATAATGGAATAAGCGTTAGATATTTTCTCTTGCGATGAGAGTTTTACCTATAACAAAGTTTACTATGAAAATGTAAACAAGGGATTTAAGTGAAATCAGACTGCAAAATCACAGCTGACAGCTCTACATATTTGACTTTTAGACATTTTTGGTTACAAGTTATATGTCATACGAATAATCGCATTAGAAGATTATAAATGCGAGAAAATTCTATATCGAATTCTATATGGTGCACATTTTTTAGGGTGCAATTATGGAAATATGAAGTGAAATGAAGTTTTACAGCAAAATATTTTTTTTTTTCAAGTCACATATTGCAAGGATTTATTTATGTCACGATTTACATATTTGCCTTCCAATTTCATTTGAAAATTGAAGCCTGTTCAATTGAAGTTTCGTTTTAATCCTAGACTAGGGGCTTAATACAAAATTTTCAACGACTGAATTCTATAATAATATCTAAATTAACTGAATTTTTCAGCAAACGAATGAATTCCAGTGAATTCTACGGCGATTTCATTCAAATATGTGAGATAGTGGTGAATAGTTTCTGCTGGCAATTACCGCAATATTTATATTTTGTGTAACGAAATTGTAAATGTTTTTTATATTTTTTTTATAAAAATTAATTTTATTTTCAATTTTGAGCGATTTTCTATCGAAAACAATCGGAAATATTGAAAAAACAATAAATTAAAAAATATTGCGGTTATCATAACCTCACTTTATTATTTTGACACATTTCATTCTATTCACACGAATTCACCGAACTCATCAATAACCACTCGATTCAAAAGTGTGAATTTACGTGAATTCCTGTGAATTGTTTTGCCGTATTAAGCCCCTAGATCCTAGATGTTCTCATTAATCTAATTAAGTCATTAATTATTTCTCGAAAAAGGAAACTTGACTCAAAACCTTCAATGTCGCAAGAGCACCCGAAAAAGTTGCTTCATTAACGAATTTTTTATACGTATTTTCGCGTACAATAAAATTGAAAACAAAACAATTGTATACACTTTTTGTGTTCACCTTATTGATACGTGGCGTCGCCGGTGATTGGTTATGGATTTTTGTCAATTTTTGAACATTTATATGAACTTATTTACATCTTTCCTTCAATTTTATCTAGTGTGAACTGGTTCTTAGAGGGAGACGGTTTATATACAGTATATTATACACTATGTGTACGTGAACAGCGATGCTTTGGAGTGTACAATATCGTGCTTCGCACTAAAAACTATTTTCAAAATGCTCTGCTTGCCCCGGTTTGTTCACCAAGTGGATCCGAAAAAATGGTTCGGTTTGTATCGCGGGTATTTACTATTCTAAAACGCCAACATATTTCTTGACCCTTTCTTGGAGCAAAATCAAAGAGTTAGTTTGAAAAAAGGGGAAATTATCAAATTAGTAAAGCAGATTCAGTTTTCAAACTTAGCAAAGATCTGATTTAATCTTATGGCCACCGTATCGTGTGAATAGAGTGACAAGTAAATTCGATGTTGTGCAATTAAGATTATATCTTAATTTTGTTCAACTGACATGGGTATTTGGTCACAACATAGAAAATAGCATATGCTAACGATTCGTATCCAATCTTTTCAAACACAGCCTTTCGATATAAGTATAAAGCGCAAACATCATAGCGCTGTAACATTAATAAACTCTGACATTTGTGTGTAATTGTTTCTTTTTCTGTAATGCAAGTTAATCTTTAATTTTTACTACAATCAACAACATCAATAATTACGTTTTTTTTTTTGTTAATCCAATATGTGTTTCGCATCTATATTTTTTGCTCCTATACGTTCATAGTATTTTTTATTTTATTTTGGTATCTCTATTTGTTCAATTTGCGCACAAAATATTCCATTTGAATCGATTGAGAGAAAAAAAAACGCAACGGAAAAGCAACGAATTTAACCCGAACGCATTAGCAAATGTAGTGCTTCACAATTCGGTAAACTTTTATTGAACAAAATGCACCGTAAAATGCCAATTCAATTTGTTCATAGGATTAGTCAAGCATGCCAATTTCCACCTAAGAGCGAACGCGAGAAAAAGAAGGCAAAAAATGCATATGGATCTGGCTTTTATTGTGCATTTGTTCATTTTATTTTCGGTTCAATTTCATGCAAGCTAAAAAAAGAGAGCAAACAAATGGTATTAATGGTTTAAGGACAGCGCATATGAATGTCCAAACGATTTTAACTGTCTGTCGATTTTATTTTGTGCGCATAATTGTGAATCTCTCGCTAAATATTTTAACAACAATAAAAACATACACTTAATCACATTTATAACAATAATGTCGGGCGTTTCTACCTTTTTATAACGTTTCTTTTTATTTTACTATTTTAAAAATGTTTTGTTGTTCCATTTGTAAATGCCCGTATTCACACACACACAAAACATACTTTTACACACGATTTACAGATGCTTTTCCAATTTGTTAAACTGTAGTTATACAAGGAATACAAATGTATTCTAAATTAGAATTTCTTAGATCTTCTGCCATATAATTTTAAATATTTGCCCAATCTTATTAAGAAACACCAGACCCCCATCCTCCCAAAAAAAAGTGAACTATTAACAACAAGAATCCATCCATTTCGCAGCTACTCTATGACTATGAAATGCAAAACTTAGTGCCATCAACACTTATTTAATTAACTAATGACGCAAGTAGTTGCACACAATTTTCGGAATTTAGTGCACGTACATACTGGGAATCTAATACGCAAATATTGTTTAAAAGTGAAATATAGAGATAGAGACAGACACATACACAGAGAGTGATACAGAGTGGCTTGAAAACTTAACCAAAAACACGCTCCCACACCAAATTAATGCATTCAAGCAAATATAGACATAATAAACTAAATCAATATTTGGGAAAAACACTTGGGTGAAAAAAGTACTATATTAAACACACACACACACACCTAGAGATACAGAGGTACACATGGTATGTGGTCTAAACATGACATTATCATTTCACATTTCGAGTGTTCACTTCAAAATATTGTATGTGTGTTTTTGTGCAATAAGATGCATACGAAAATCCATTTCGCACCTGTCTCTCTCACTCTCCAAAGTAATGACAACGAAAGAAATTGCAGTGAGCAAACTATTTGAATGGGGCATTTGACAATGGGAAAACTGAGCAGGCAACAGACATACACACACACATTTAACTTTGAAGATATATACCATAATAATGTACTATTGAATTGTCAGGCCCTTATTTTTAGCAAGCAAATAATTTTCATTCTATCTTCTGCTACATTTTGTCTCTTGTTTTTTTGATATCCCATCAGCTCTACTCTCTTCATTTAAAATGTTGTGTAATTCAATTGCATATGTGCAGTGTGCACGCACCCACAACGATGACTATAATGCCGTTTCAATTTTATCGTTGTCTACGCTTTTTACTGTAAAATAAATTGAAAGTGTTTCCTCTGATCATCGTTTTTATTTTGTCATACATAGTGTTCGCGTGCTCTAACCCAAAAAAGTTCCCGCTTTTTTTACAATCGCTCGAAGGATCGTGTACGTGATGCGAACAGTTAAAAAACCGATTTATATGCTACTCTTTTCATTCACTTCAACAATGTTAAAAGTTCGATGAGAGAATTCTTCATTATTTTCGCATCGAAAACTTAAGCAATCTATCGCCTTTTTTATGTCTGCCATAATCATCTGATCACTCTACGCGTGGACGTACACAGACAGTTAAATACTCGATATTCTTTTTACATTTCAATTAATTTCTCTTTTTTGTCATCTAGATTTTTGTTTCTTGTTTTCCATTTCGTGTAAATCAACAATACTATTATCGCTACCAATTAGTACAATACATTTAAAGATTTGTATACCCCACTGACAACACATACCATTTACATAATATTTTACGTTCACATACAAGACAATGCATATTTAATTTGTGCAAGTGCTTAAGGTCTTTGGTTTAGAATAAATTCGATGAAATAAAAAAAAAGTCTTCGTAAAATGATTTTTGTTTTTGTCATTTTTTTTTTTTTTTGGAAAATGTGTAATTGATCGTGTGTGTATGTGGTTGAATTTGTTTGCTTTGGTTTAATACTAAAAAATCATTGCATCTATTTTATGCATTTCAAATTTGTTGGTTTTTTTTATTTATGTGATATTTTTTCAAATATTTTTGTGTTGATTTTCTTTGAATTTTTGAAATTAAAACAATTTATCGCCTACAACTTCCGTAAAAATCATAAAATATTGTTATGGATGCTGTGATTGTTGTTGGTATTGTTGTCCGATGAATGCACCGTGCGTCATGTTTCTCCCAAATTTACCACGATTTATAGATTCCTGTATGCGTTCGTTCTCTTGTCGCACTATATAGAAAAATGAAAGAGAGAGAGAGAGTGAAAATATTTGAATGCCATTATCATGATATTTCTACAAGCTACAAATCTCTGAGTTCGATAAAAACTTTAAAATCTACCAAATGTTGAGCAGAAATATTCAACAATACATCCGCTCACTGTTCAAAAAGTTTACACTTTTTTTTTCAAATGAATTTTTTTTCGCATCTGCATTTCTTTCCGCTTTGCAATTATGAAAATGGTCTAAATTCAAGTGAAGGAACTGAATAAATTTTCCTCCTTTACAAAGCACATTGTATGTTGGAATTCATGTGAAAAGTAATAGAGTTTCTTAATTCATTTTTTTACTTCAACAAAGTTGGAACACATTTTCCGTATTATCATTTATTTGGCCACGTTCAAATCGAAAATATTGCTTTTTACACGTTTAAAATGTGAGAATGACAAATACAACCATTCCACATTTTTGGTGTCACCTATTTTTTTTTTTAAATACATCGACATTAAAGTCGCATAGAGAGGTTCGTTGGACATGCAATTCAAACAGAAACAGTTTAAAAGCTGCCTGCATAAGTGTTTGGTAAACAAACAAACAAATAACACACCAATTTGTGTTTGTTGAACACAGACACAAACACTGTTATTTCTATATAGAAAGCAGCCAGCCAGCTGGCCATCCAACCAAACCGACCAACAACAACAAAAAATGGAGATGAAAGGGCTCAAAACTCACAATTTTTAGTCGTAACATTCGATAACAGACAGAGTGCATACAAAATGTAAATAAACAAAATGTCTGGTTACTGTTCTGAGTGAATAAAACCACTATACGTGTTACCGCTGTTGAACATTTCTTTACCAAAATATTTCTCCATATTTTTCCATTCAACATTTTGCACATAATTTCATTATCATTCCACTGACATCCCATGCCATCAAACCAACATCGCTCAGTTGGTCGCTTACGAACAAATCGATTCGAAAAATATGAACGCTAAACTCTGAATATTTTCAGAACTGTATGTGTGCGTGTGTTCGCTCTTGTGTTGATGTATGAATATATTGCGCTTTTTGGCTTCATGTCGTTATTTGTATTCATTCTCTCTCTTTCTTTCTTTCTTTTTTTCTCATGTTCTATCTGTGATCGCTGTTTGATTCTTGTTCATTCGCTTACTCCCTTGCACGCAATATTTTTCGTTTTTTTTTATTTAATGAAAGATGTAAATGGATGTTTATTGATATTACCTTGGATATGTGTGTGCGTGTGAGAGACAGAGAGAGAGAGAGAGAGTAAGAGAGAGAGAGCGAACAAGAGCAAGAGAAACAGTTCAAGAGATGGTGTTGATTGCCATACATAACGAATTTCCGTTGAAACATTTCGGTAAAAATTCAATTAAATTAAATCTGTTGAAGTTTATTTGGAAAATTATTTATTTTGACTATGAGCGAAACGAAAAACCCAACTGATATATGTATAAAAAATGAATGATGCAATGTGGTATACTTTTTTGGCTTGTTTTTCAGCGGCTTACTCTTTCAATTTTTACACAATTTTCAAAAGCAAAAATCTGAGTTCAAACTTATTTCATATATGGTATACTAGTAGTAAAATCGACCACAAGCCGAATTGTCCTTTTTTTGTTTAATACGTAAAAAAGTTTCGAGCACATGCACAAACAATTTTTTTATTCGACATTTTATTGTTGTAAAACGATTTTTGAAAATCGTAAAAACTTACACCATATTATTATTAAGCAACAAAATAAAACGATGAAAGTTTATTCAATTTTGTATTAAGACTCAAAATTAACGCAAACTTTTGTTTCATTTCATGAAATAAAAACCATCGTCATTCCGTGGCTATATGCACTTCCGTGCTCGACGACTACAAATTTGGCAGTTTACGATTCTTGAATGCTCAACACACTTTGTTAAGCCATCGCGAAACGTTTTTCGTTCGCGTCCTTTTTCATTCGAAAAAATAAAATAAAACGAATCCACCAGCGAGCAAAACAAATATAGCATACATTGTTTCATTCGCAAAAGTACTCTGGGTTGTTGTTGGTTAGTATTAACATTAACATTTCCGTAGACGGTATTGCATGCATTTTAGTTGTTCAAATGTATGAGAAAGAGCGACACAGAGAAAATGAATAAAAGCATAGAAAAGCTTGTTTATCAACCGTTCTTATGTATTACTTTAAGATCTCTAAGTGATTGCACTAAAACACAAATAAAGTGCAATGAGTATGCGACGATATGAGTGGCGGGATGAGAGGAGGAAGAAGAAGAATAGACACTTTGCATGCCAAATTTTTTTTTTTACAAAATTCGACGTATTTTCAGCGATTTTTTTTATTGTTGTTCGCTCTTGTCAAGTCACAACTACCGAACGTGAGTTTGATTGAACAAAATGGGACGCGCGGAGTTAAACTTTTTTTCGACCGTCGTTTTTTTTTTGCTGTTTTCAATTTTAGTTTGGTATCCTTTATTAAGAGAGAATTATGATAAAATTTCTAAAGCATCACCGCAAAAGAACAAATAGATGTTTTCTCTTTGATGAAAAGCACATAGAAGTTCAGAAGAGTGGATGGGGGTCGACAAATAGTACAAAAAAAACGAACAAAGCAACGTGCAAAAGAAGTGAGACTTTCAAATCTGTTTCAAGTATTCCCTGTTTTTGCCTTTTTTCTCTCGCGCGCACCTTCTTTCGTGCAATTTTTTTTTGTTAAGTGTGTTAGCTTGAACGCGATGCGATCAATGAAATGACAGTATTTGTCGAATAAATGGTACACATTTGCATTGCGAAGCAGGTCCATGTGCATACCACATATTATTATGTGTTTGGCATGAAAACACTTCATCTCATTTATGCCTCACTTAGGATATGCAATCCATTTGCATCAAACAACAAAAGACATAAGATGAGATGTGAAAATGAATTGCGAGAGTTGGAGAGAGAGAGAGAGAGATTGGTGTGATTCAGTGGCTGGTGCCGCTGATGGAACTGAAGAAAAAAACTTGCTAAACAACAGAAAAAAAATTGAAATTGAAACTAGCGAAAAACTTTCGAAAAAAATGTGCATATCAATGGAGCTCAATATCGAACTCTGAAATGAAAATTCTTTAATAAGTTTCAAATTCAATGAGATTTTAGAGATTCCATCAGTGATGCTCACAGTCTCTGCATACTTTTTTTTCTCTGTCTCTCTCTTTTATTTACTGAACGAAGCGATACCTGATATATGCTTTTCAGTTTGTGTTCCCAACCGTCTTAACATTTCACGCGAGCAATTTTCTTTATTATAATTTTACAAAGGCAATGAACACATTGCACACAAAGAAACTCACCCCCCCCCCCTTCACTATCCATTTCTCGTTTTATCGATCTAGTTTTCTATGATAGCTGCATATTTGCTATTTCGAGTTGAAACCCCGCATCTTCAATGTCCCTTACGAAAGCTTTTGTCTTGAGCTCGTTATTGAAGAACCATAGTGAAACTTTGCGCATCATATACATATATTTTCTTTGTTATTCACTGTTTAAGCTGATGTTTTTTTCGTGATTCGGATGAGCGACATTTTTGTGTCATTCAAATTTGCTGTAAGATCATCGTTTTCATTTGATTTTTTTTAATCTTCTGCCGCGTGCATTTCCTTTGCCAGAAATGAGTGCAACGATTCGATTGTATTTGCCATCTTTATTATGCTCAATTTATAAATTACAATCGGTAGTTTTTGGAACGTGTTATTGTGTTATTGTGGAAATTTTTGGCATAACGTACACATTATTACTATTATTGTTTTGGCATTGACAGTGTCATTGCAAAGCGGTGGATCGTTTGTGAAAATATTCCTTTTCACCTATCCGATTACCACAATTCAAATGCTGTCAAAAGCATTTATTTTCATGTCGTTGCAAAAATTGAACATCGTATGATCATCGCTTTTGCACTCACAATAAATACTCAAAACAAAATCCACAACTCTCCGGTGCAACCATCTATAGAAACTCCAAAAGAAATGACAAAAGTAGGAAATATGTAAATGTATCGTAGAGTGCAAACAATTTATTTTACGTATTGATTGCAACAACATTCGGTTATCGTATGACAAGCGAACTATGATTGGTTGCACACATTCGAATATGCGATGTGAATTCATTCGAAAGCGTTCCCATTTTCAAGAATTCCAATCGTGGTCTTCGATTTAAAAACACGAAGAACCATGTCGGTTTTTTTTCTATTTTTGTATTTCTAACTTATTGTTTTGATTAACGAGCACGATTCAACAATCAAATCTCGAAACTTATTTGATTGCCTTAGGCACTTCGACCAATTTGCATACGTGTGCAGATTTTGCAGATAGAGAAAATGCAGCTAATCCTAAAGCATAGTTTGTAATTTATTGCGTCAAGTGTTTTGAGTGTCGCATTCTCACATTGTGAGCGCATACATAGCGATTTTTAAATATAACTGCAAGTCATTTACGATGTATATTTTATGTTATGAAAACGAACTAAATACTCGAATATGTGAGATTGATTAAAATTCCGTATACACATTCTGATTGCTCATGACCTGGATGGGACAACGTGCGCGAACAAATCATTTGATTATGTAAAAATCAAGAGGGAATACAAAAAGCACTTTAAAAATACGACCGGAGTTTTGATGGTGACAGTGATTATGGTGTGGTGATGGTAGATATGACAATATTTTCCAAAAACTATTTTGTCTTTTCATCTTGCATTCCATGCAATCGGTGAATCAACGAACGCGCGGCCATCATGCAAGGAATGTTCAGCTTTTTTATGAGTGTCTGGGCTTGTCGGATTTCGTTACTCTCTGGAGAATTTTTTTATCCAATGCAAAATATCGAAAAATTTCAATACCATAATTTAAAATTTTTGTGGATTTTCACTTGAAAAACTCAAATTATGGACACAGACACACCAGCAGGAACACTAAATATTTTTAAATTATGGTAATCCACACTGTATCCATAAT